TATTATTATTATTATTATTATTATTATTATTATTATTATTATTATTATTATTATTATTATTATTATTATATGAAGCCATTCGTTGCCGCTGCTACTGCCTCGTTAAGAGTGCGTGACTTTTAGTGGCCGCGGAAAAGTTGCCGAGCGGGTAATGATATCCTCACGCCCGCCGCCGTAAACACTCCGCCGCTACCACGAAGCTCAATGACGGCGAAGTTTTGATTGCTTATCCCTCCTCCTTTCTCCTTTTTCTGCTGCCACCGTTCGATATAAATACTTTTATATATATAATATTCTCCCACGCCGAACTCTCCTTTTTTATTTATTTTTTACGCGAAAAAAATATGAAAAAAGTTGCCGAGTTAAACTATATATTTATGTGTGTGCGTGTGTGTGTGTGTGTGTGTGTGCGCGCGTGTGTATGTGTGTGTGTGTGTAATTTGATGACCCGTTGCCATTGTTTCCAGTTCACCCTTCACCCCGTCCATAAAACATCGTCTCTTTACTCTTGTGTACGAACCAAAGTTTTCACCGAATGGATTTGTTGTAAACTCGAAAAACTATGGACTCGATTAGATGTGGAAATGTCGTTTGCAAAACATATTTGTTTGTCAAAGTTTGCCGAAACGTCGGCGTAAACGTTTTATACGCCGCCGGAGTATTGTTCAACCATTGATTTCCATCTAAATATCCGGACGGTTCATAGTATTTAGCAAATTATATAACTCTACTCGAATAATACTATTAAACATTTCAAAATAATAACAGTATCAATAATAGTTGTTCACACGGATATAGGCATCGCTTATACACTAATTTATGGTGTGGACATTATTTATCATTAATTTAGTTTTTACATCAATTCATCCGAAGATTAATATAGCATAAATAGAAGGAAAACACCAACAATAAGCGATTCTAAAAAAAATTCTTGTTAATACATTTCAAATAATTTTAGGATAAATATTTAAGAACAAATAACTATACAAAAAATATTAGATGATTTGGGTAATAGTTTAAATACTTTTCAAAAATCTGATATAAAATGTATATGACTTAAACGTATTTCAAAGACTAGGTAGGTACACATAGATCATACATCATTATTAACTACGAATAAAAATAATTTTAAACACTACGTTTTACTATAATCTATTTCGCCTTAAAGAGAGGTTTCTGAAAAAAAAAATGTGCGGATTTCAATAACACATTGTACTCTAACAATAACTGTATAGTATTAAACAAACATAATGTATTAAGCTTTATTTACGAGGAACTTTTTTCTCGCAAAATTCTTAATGATTATTCTTTTAACAATCATAAATAATGCTCATTTATTAACTATTAGTTAGTTACCAACCTTCTTATGGCAATAATTAATGATAGTAATGGGTTCTCGAGATATTTATTTAAATGTACTCAGTTTTGAAAGTTTTTGCAATAAAGACACACTCATATTATACACATGTTTGCATAAATTTAAAGTTTTACATGTATTTATGTATTTCTGAACACTTCCATCTCTCATTAAGATCAGAACTTTAAAATAAGTTTTGAAACTTGTTGAAACTAATCTCATGAAACATTTTTTTTAAACACATAAAGTTAAATACTTAGTCTTCTTTTATGAAATCTTACTTTATGTTAACTTTTAGGGTTACAAAATCTTTCTGGAGAGTCAGTCTTATTTAAAAAGAAACCAGCATTAACTTACGCTCAACAAAGTAAAAAGAAAAAAAAAATAATCGATATGTATATACAAGTTTTATGTACGAAAACTTTTTCAACTACCTGAGGGTTGAGTAAATACATATAGAGCTTACGAATTTGTGTGAGAGTAATAACCAGACATTTAGTAACTCAACATTTTATTACACTTGTATTAATTTTCGTATAAATTTAATTTCAAGTGTTCAAAAAGTTTTTACTATATAAAAACTTATTTACTAAACATTTATAGTAATTGTCTCACTACTTTGAAATATATTTTTCAAATTGCATACATACTTATTTACTACGTCAAGCATGAACTTTGAATGCTTTTACAAATAATATCTGAATCTATTACTAACACTTTTATAACAAGCATATAATTCTTAACTCAATTAAATATTACTGCTATAAGGGGTCCTATTGATTCTTCCAATGTGTAGCATCGATTCTGCCAGCACAGGTAGACTAAAAATAAACTATAGACTCCACCAGTTACCAATTTTTACCTGAACCTGCTGCTGTCAACCCGTTTCCTTCTTATTAAAAAAAACATATTTACATATGACTTAACTAAGTTAGTAATTTTCGATTTTTTTTTTTTGTGTATTGATCCGAGTACAATATATATATATCTGTTTGGATCCTCGTATTTAAGAAATGTATAAATCAATAAATATTTGGATGTGATTTTGTAAACAAAAAATTTAATTTGGCATGAAAAGATTAGCAACTGTTTGTGGTTCATTCAGAATTAATAGAAAATGAATGTGTAAAGCCATACAAAATAAATAAATAGAAAGAGGCTTAACATTGGGTGAACATTTTGAAAATTCATCAATGTATTCTTCAGTTAAACAATCACAAACTTTTAATATTTCTGGACTATTATGGCAGTGTGCCATAAAATATTCTATAAAATAATTAGAAACTTCTTCTGGGTTTAAAAAAAAAGTCCAAACATTTTTTTTAACAATATTCTCAACTCAGAGTTTTTGTTTTTATACTGTTCTGTTAGTCCAATTTCTTAGATTTTCTCCCCCAACTTTGAATTAAAAAGAATCTGCATCAAATTACTTGTATTAATGGCCAAACTATTTTTGCACCAACATAAATAGATTTTTCAAAATCGTCCACAATTGTTGATAATTCAAATTTAAATTTAACTACGCACATTTTGTTTTAAAAAACCAAATGCTTAATATATATATTTATTGTTTTGTTAGATAATAAAAAAAAAATTAATGGAATATTATGCCCATTTATATTTACATGAATTGTAAAAAGTTGATAAAAACGGTATGGCAGAATCGATGGAGCCCCCTGCTATAATTATTCAATTTTGGGGTTATTAAGAATTGTATAAGGTATAAGTCACGTTTTTAAATTTGATGCGGGTAAACAAAATTGAAATATTGTAACTGTGATAAGCTCGTATTACGGAGGTGAAAAAAAACTTTGCATGTTCAGTATGCATATTATAAAACCGTTTATAACCAACTAGATACAAGTTTTGACTTTTGTCATTACCTCAAAAAAAAAAATTATCTTAAAAAACGGTTATAGACCATTATGGCTCTAGTATTTCGTTTCTATTTGCATACGAACGTTAAACATTCTTATTAAACTATCGCCTACCAGTTTAAAATATATTAAAATTAATACAAAATAACGAATAAAATCAATTTAACTTTAAAAATACTTTGCCCCGAGATAAATAATAAATGTATTAGCAAGTTTTTAATACCTCGGCAACTTATCGCATTTAGTCGGATACAGCACGATCGTTAAATATTGATGAATTTTATAATTAATGTTCTGAAAATGGGTAAAAAAATAAAGATTACAAGTACTCTAATATCTTAAAAAAGTTTTCACAGCAAAAAATAAAATACTTCCTCAAATAATTATACCTAAATGAGTAACAAACGCTATGAAAATATGTATTTCATTATACCCTTCAAGCTGAAAATTCAGTGTGGCGAATAATAATAAATATTTAAGATCGAAATCGAAAAATTAACTATAATATACAATGTAACACATATAAGAAAGAATATATAATTTGACTTTAAATTATTTTTAAAAAAATGTTTCACTGATTAATGCATTATTTTAAAAATTAAAATAACTTCTCAAAGGAAAATTATACAAAAGGAAATTTTGTATGTATAAATAATGGTCTATAGATAAACATATGATGTTATATGTTTTATAAAACTTAAACAATATAATCATTAATGTCACTTTTTTTATTTATTTATGAATTATTAATAACTCTTTGAAGATAAATAGAACAATATTTACATATATATATATATATATATATATATATACATA